CTACCTCCTGGTTTGGGTTGTTACAGTAATTTTACAAGCGTGGTTTTCAAGTGGGTGCTCCACGCTAAGCATGAAAAATGGGAGGAGCCTTCAGGTTGGGCACCGAGCAGCCCCTAGCAGAGTTGGGACCAGGTTGTGAGCAGAGGACAGCAGGAGGCAGGACCACCTTTTATCCGAGTCAGATGCCATCAGAGCCAGGTAGCTCTGAGCATTGCCCTGTAGTATCTTGGTCTGTTCATTACAGAACGTATTCTTTTCTTAGAGCTAGGTATTCTTATATGGGAAAGGCATTTTAACTGCGTTGGAATGGGGCAGTAAAGCCAGCTGTCCTTTACCGAGCGCCTACTATATTCCTCATAAAAGCCCTGCGAGATAGGTGCCGTGATTCGTTCCCTGTTATGGAGGAGGTGGAGTTTAAGTATTTGACTGGGGTTGCCAGGCCGTCACGTGGTGGAGTTAGCACGTGCGCCCAGAACAGTGAAGCCCATGCCTGTGACTCTCAGGAGGCACCCACTCCCCATCACTGTCATGATTCCAGCCAAAACTGGGTGCCCATCAAGCTGGGGCGATGGCTTCACAGGGGTGAGTTGCACACCCGTTGCTGTTGATGATGGCACTTTCTTGACAAGTCCAGACGTTGCCACAGAATCCTTCCTACCTGGTGCTCTGGGCAGCCCTGAGAGGCAAGTGGACACCTATTTGCTGTTCCTGCAGTAGGTGGATTCCAGCACGTGGTAGGAGGCACCAGGAATGTCAGATCTGGGTGGGTTTCCCGGAGTTTCGCACTGTCCCTCTTCCCTCTAGCAGCTTCTCTGGGGACAGTCTGGGGCCGAGCACTGCCGCCTGTGGCTGGAGGAGCTGTTGTTCTTTAAGCGGGCCTTGGTGTTCCTGGAAACCTGGCGTCTCCCTGTGAGCAGGGCCAGCTCCTGCCACTTCCCTTCTTGGCTCCAGGAGCATTGTGTGGCCTGGTTCCCAGTGGGGTGTGTCCAGTGATCAGAGAGTTTTCTCCACCAAATTGAGCGAAGACTTGGTGTGGCTTTATGTCCCCAGTGCACGTTCAGGGGAGCAGCGGCCTAGTTCTTCAGGCCTGTCTGTGGCGGCAAGCCCAGGGCCACGGTGGCAGTAACATCTGCCCCTGCCTGGCACCCGGCTGGTTGTTCTGGTTGCTTTGGCCTCCTCACCTCGGAAACGCTGGGAATGTGCTGTGCATGGTGGATGTGAGGCAAGCCTTCCGTCCCCCCATCCCTAAATGGTGCTTTATTAAAAGAGTTGAGTCTTTTCAAAGTCTCATATTACACAGTGTTCTCTCTCTTACATGCTTTATTTTGAACAGCCAAGTTCAGTTTGAGAACAGCTCAGCCTGAAACAACCTCAGTTATTACAGGACTTGGGTGCTTCTAGGAGTCACATGACAGCATTAATTAAGAATGAAAGAAGGCAAAGACATGTAACAGGTTTAGTCATTATTTCTGGGGTTTTGATCCCGTAAGTGTAGAATATTGATATAAGTGAGCCTTTAAAAATCACTAACAGAAGGAAGGTAGTTAAGTGGCTACAAATGCATGATTATAGGCTGATGGAAAAATCGACCGCTTTAATGATAAGGGCATGGGTACGTGTGGGTTGGGACACCATTTCCAGTGACGACATCCTACGTGATTTCCCAGTGAGCCGTGTCTAACGCCTTAAATGGATGACAAGGGCGATGTGTTCTGGCAGACGGCTTGCGTGGCTCGGCTTCGCTGCAGGGCTGGTGAAGGCCTTAAGGCTGAGGACATGGTGAAGGGTCCAAAAGGAAGTCATTTAGCTGGCCGTTGGAGAAATAATGCTTTATAATTAATATTTTTAATGTTGTAATTGATATGGTATTTTATTTCTATATATAAATGAATATATAAAAGTTACAGTGACTTGACTTTTAATCTATTTCCCCCCAAATTGTATAGTCACCTTGGTCAAACCATTGAAGCCTGTGCCTTCAGTATGGGAGTCACTCTGTACATTTCCCGGTTTCCAGGTTCCACGGTAATTCCTCCCGCAGCCCCTGATGTGGGAGATTTGAAAGGGCGGAGGAACGGAAGGAGCGCGGCATTTTCTCTGTCTCTCTCCCTCCCTTTTTCTCTCCTTCCCTCGCTCTCACTTCTCTACGCCTTCCTGACACTGGGCCCTGGGTAGAGCTGGGGGCCTCCGAAGGGGCCCGACTCCGACCTTGCTCTTGGGAGATCACGGTTTGCAGACCTGTTTTAGACATGGGGGGGCTGAGTGTTTCTTTTTTTCTTTTTTTACTTGATGAAAGAAAGAAAGAAACACCAACTTGTTGTTACAATTATTTATGTATTTATTGGTTGATTCTTATATATGCCCTGACCAGGGCTGAACCTACAACCTTGGCATATTGGGGTGATACTCTAACCAACTGAGCTACCCGGCCAGGGCCAGACCTGGGTGCTTTGATTCACACTTGCAGTGTCTGTGGTTTGATTCTTGCTGCATCAGGTTTATTCCATAGAACGTATCAGTTTATCTTAAAGTAGTTTTATTATGTGAAATATTCATTAGAGCACACTTTACTGTACAGCATTTGGAACAGGGCACTGAGTACAGTTTGTCCTCATAAATCTATTAATGCTGATGGGATGTAATTGTCTCCTGTGAAGCTTTGGGGTGAGGTGGGGACCTGAGCAGGGGAGGAGTCTGGCTGCGGTAATCTCTGTATTTCCCTTAGCTTGGCTATGGCAGGTCCTGCTTGGGGGGTGAGGGGGAGAGATTGGTTATACATATCCATTCTCTTTCTTTCTTAATGAATGCAGAGGCTTCCGTTTCTCTGAGAACCCTCTCGTCAGCTCCAGTTTCTTGTCCAATTCCAGGCTCCAGCAGTGGTTTGGAGGTGTAATGAGGCTCACAGGGAGAAGCTGGCTCATGAGCGAAGGCTGATCTGTGAGGAGAGGGATCCAGGGATGGTAGAGGGAGGTGAGGGCAGGACACTAACACGCAGGACTAAGGGCTGTGCAGCAGCCTCTGAGCTAGGTACTTTACCTGCATGGCCCAGGCAGTCCCAACAGCCACCATAGGAGGTAGGTGTTATCATTTCTGTATTTGAGGCTCAGAGAGGTTTATTAAGTTGTCCAAAGTGTGGTTCATTTAGTTCCGCAAGCCTGTGCTGATTGGTGGCCTGCCACAGGGTCCAGAGCTGGGCACAGGACACAAACTTCTGGCCTCAAGGCGTGTGCCGTACAGCGGATGCAGAAACAGAGCAGCGGCGGAGCCCCCCCTGTGTGATGCAGGGTGCACAGCAGGGCGTGGCGGGTCGTGGGAGGCTGTGCGCAGGCTGGAGTGGGTGTCCGAGCACAGCTGGAAGCCTGGGTGGGAGTGAGTGACCAGGCAGATGGGCTGGCAGGGAGGTGTAGGGCTGGGCAAGGGGGTTCCAGTCGGTTCTAAGGGCAGGTACAAATATACAAGGACATAGGACACTGAGGTGTCGTGGGCAGGGTGAGGACCTGGGTTTAGTTCTGCCCAATCCCCAGGGGAGGGAGGGTGGGAGGGATAGGTATTCAGAGCTACCAGTGCAGGGCCTCATACGCCTGGCTGGGGAATCTGGACTATAACTGAGGGCAGTGAGGAGTCACTGGAGGGTTTGAAGCCAAGGAAAAATGGAAATGGATTTGTAGGTATAGAAGATCACTTTAGAGGCTCGACAGAGGCTGGCTTGGAGGGGCGCGATGCAGGGACACCTTGTCGGGGTTTTGGTGCCTGTGTAGTCGGGAGTCACAGGGTCACGGGGGCAGGGTGGGGGCAGCTCACTGTGGGTAGGAGGTGACAGGAATCATCAGCAGGTCTCTTGTGAGGGGGGGCCTGGGGGAAGAAGACTCTTCGGGCTTCTGGCCTGGGCTTATTGAGTGCTTCTAGTGTACAGTGGGATGTTTTAGATGTTGCAGGGCACTCAGAGCAGCGGGGAAAACTTAGAAGACGTACGTGAGCCGAGTGCGTGGTAATTTGGCATCTTGAATGAGGCCGGGGCTCCACAAGGGTTGCACTTGAATAGAGATGAATGTCAAACAAGGAAGGCAACTTGTTAGGGTCCTGTTAGTACTGTCCGCTCCACTCACTGGTCCTGGCGGTGTCTTCCTCCTGCCTTGGTTGTTGTTAAGGAAGGAGGGTATATTTACAGTGGGAGGGCCATGGGGCTTGGAATCTGGAGACCAGGGTTCATGTTCTGGCTCCGCCATTTATTAGCTAGGTGACCATAGGCAGGTGTAGCCTTTGTGAGCATCTGCTTTCTGTTTGTAATTTGGAGCTATGACAGTGACATCTGCCACACTGACATCCCAGGCTGTCGTGGAGACCGAAGTGTGCGTGTGAGAATAAACCGCAGAACTCCGCTGAGCAGCTGTGACATCTCTAGACTCCAAGTGTTCTGAGACTAGACCCTGTACTTCCCACAGCACCTCCCGGATGTCTGGACACTCACAGAATGCTGCTTGGGTCCCGGGTGTGTTCCCTGTGGCAGCAGGCATCGTCAGGTTCTGTTTCCCAGAGACCCTCACACTGTTCACAGCGTTGGGCAGGGGAGGCAGAGCACCCGGCTGGACTGAGGAACGTGTAGCAGCCACCAGCAGTGGTGATGCTGGGGCCGGTGCCGGCCACTCAGACGTGCTCAGGGTCCTAACTTCAGGACCAGACAGTTTCCTGTGGTTTCCAGTCACGAGGCAGAGAACTACTTTCACGATGGCCCAGCTTGGAGTTCAGGAGCCGAAAGCAGACTGGGGGGCTGCTCGCATCCCCGTCCTCGCTCCCACTCTTCCGTTACACCCACCACGCCAGTGCCTGCGCACGCATCACACATGATGTCCCTGTCCCCGTAGCCAGCCTCATCATTTTCCCATTTCCTTAACTCTCACTTGGGATGCCCTGCTGGTGACCTTGGAGGGGCACCATCTGTCCCCCTCTGTGGGCCCATGCGTGTGCTGAGTGTCCTGTGGTTTCCTCGTGCCCTGCTGCAGGTCGTCTTCCACGATGTTGCCGTGCTGACGGACAAGCTCTTTCCAGTGGTGGAGGCCATGCAGAAGCACTTCAGTGCTGGCTCCGGGACCTACTACAGTGACTCCATCTTCTTCCTCTCAGTCGCCATGCATCAGATCATGCCCAAAGGTAACCTGCTAGCCCCTGCTGTTTGGCGTTTGTCTCTGTCCCCCTGGCTCTGGTAGCACCGGTGCCCTGTGTCAGGAGAACTCCACTAATGCACAAAGAGAGGGCGAGGGGGCCAGCAACACCCGCTATGTGACAGCTTCCTGCCCAGAGAAGCAAGGGCAGGGCCCTGGGATGCATGGCTCCCACAGTGTGAGTGGCGCAGTGTGGTGGCCCTGGGTCAGGGCCTCTGGGCTCCAGCCCTGACTCTGCCCCTTGCAGGCACCCAGCCTCTGGGTGCTCAGTTTGTCCATCTGGTAAATGGCAGTAGCACTAGGTGTCCCTCCATCCAGATCTGCGATCCTGTTCTTTCTAGTTTGAATCTGTACTTCTCTGACTGTAAAATATCAAATCTAGATGTGAGAGGTGCAGATTATGTTTGAGTAGGACTTTTTTTTTGAAACTCTGATGCCTAATTAGAGGGTTACCTGGACTTCAGTTCCCACAGGGCTGAAGAGATGTGGGCGTCTGGTGGCTGGTGGGTCGGCCCTGTGTGGGAGTGCTTGCAAGCCTGGTCACCCTTGGACTAGAAGCCTTGGGGTGGTCTCCCTGGAGGGGTGTCCTAGGCTCTGGATTATTCTCCTCTAGATGGTCTCTGATTGATTCTGGAGCCCTGGATATTGCCCACTTTCTGGCCCTGGTGAATGATGACCTGAGCCTTTTAGGGGTTAGGAGGGGAGTTTTGGGTCTCAGGTAGCAGCTCTCAAGCTGTGACTGGTTGAGTTTCCAGTGATCCCCAGAGCAGACAGAACCCAGTTGCCTAGGGGACAGCCGGGCCTCTGGTGGAAACCTGCTGCTCTGGCCCAGCAGACCGGAGGTGAAAGGGGCGTCCGGAGCACCGACGTTTGAAGGGGTCTGGTAAGCCAGGAGTCCGGGAGTTGGAGGCCGAAGTTCAGTTTCATTGGCAGGTTGTCAGCCCATGGGAAAATCTAGACTTTGTCCCCACAGGGCAAGCTCCGGCACCACGGAGACCCCTGAACGTTCTCCTCACTGTAAGGCAGGGCTCAGGGGGCTTCACTGAGCAGGGGTCTGAGGAGAGAGGAGGCAAGCTCACCAAAGGGCACAGGCAGAAGAGCTAGCACTTGTGGTTCTTTGCAGAGACCAGGTGTGGCTTTCCCTGTTATCTCCTGGGTCCTCTCACCGGCCCTTCAGGGTTACAGATGAGCGAGACCAATGACTTGCGTGACTCGCCCAGGGTTATGCAGCTGTGTGGGTGGCAGAGCTGTCTCACGGGGAGGCCTGCTTCTCCACATAGCAGTTTCTCCACCCCCTCGGCTGGGCCACGTGGGGCTCTCTCTCTGGGCGGGCCTGGTGCAGTGCTCAGAGTGGAGGAAGGTGTGGTTCCTGCTCCCCAGGATTCTGGGGAGAAAGCCAGGTGCTGGCTCTAGTTCTGTCACTAAGCACCTGTGGAGCCCGTTCGTCCTTGTGGGCCGCGGTTTCCCACCTGTAAATGGCGAGGCCGACCTAGCGAGCTGTTTGGATTAGAAGAGTCCAGGGTCACAGGAATCCCCTTCCGGATTCTGTGGTTCGGGGAGCCAAGGGAAGAGCGATTCTGCTTTGTCTGCTCCTGCCGCCACCTTCACTCCTAGCAGTTGGTCCTGACCACTGTGTAGACCAAGCTTTGGACCAGGATTCCGTTTGGTCAAGGAGCTCCACGAGTGGCCCTGATCGGCATGGCTCAGTTGGATGGGTATGGTCCTGCAAAGTTAAAGGTCTCCGGTTCAATTCCCGGTCAGGGCACATGCCTGGGTTGCAGGCCAGGTCCCTGGTCAGGGTGTGTATGAGAAGCAACCAATCGACCTTTCTCTCTCATACAGATGTTTCTCTCCCTCTCTGACTCCCTCACTTCCCCTATCTCTAAAAATAAATAAAAATCTTTAATAAAAAGACGATTTCCATGATTAAACTAGTTTAAGAGTTGACTAGATGGGCCTTTTGGGCCTGGCCAGCCCTGTTGTTCCGCAGGTGTGGTTGGCTTTGAACAAAACGCTGTGCCCGAAGAACCGACAAGTGTCAGCGGAAACCCGGCAAGAGGCACGCCTGGCCTTCCTTTCCCTCCCTCCCTTGCTGGCCGTTAGGTCTCTGCCCACCATGTGCTAGACTCTAGACCAGGTTATGTTTTGGGGCACCAGAGGGAGGGGAAATAGACCATCCTCCTTGGGGTTGTCAGGGCAGGAAGATATTTCTGTCCCACAGTGGTTGGGAGGTCCAGCAGGTGAATCGTGAAGTGCAGATGATGAGACTTAGGGAGTCGCGGGCTGCTGTGCCTCTGCCTTTTGACTACTCTGCTGGTGTCCTGGCCATGCCCAGTGGGCAATGTCTGCAGAGTCAAGGCTTTGGCCAGAGCTGTGCTACCCAGGCTGTGGATCGGATGGTCTGTGTCAGGCCTGCAAGGAGCTGTGTGACATGTGCAGCAGGCAGACCCAACGCCAGTCTTTCCAGGGGTTGTTCAGACGAATGATAATGTGCTGCCAGAGATTCATTTCTACATCTGCCCAGAGTCTGGTTCCTAAGAGGAGAGTTTGGGGGAGTTACTAAAAGCTGCTATTCATAAAACGAAATGAGCATCCTGGAGCTCCCGCAGGGTCTGGATGTTTCTGCTGAGCCGCCCGGCGGCTGCACAGCCCCAGGCCCCATGCACAGCTACCTCCTTCCGGGCAGATCCTTTGGAATCCCCGCACTGTTCCAAGGATGCTTGGTTTTCAGGCACTGTGAGTGCTGTCTTGATATTGCTGCCCTTTTTTTGTACTCATTATTTAAATCATAGAAATTGCTGTTGTTTTGGCCTTTGTTGATGAATTTGTTCTTGCGTAATTGGCACTATTTTGGTTATTTTGTTTCACAGCGTTCCTTTTCTCTCGGAAAGTGAGAATGGAACAGGGGCGGGTCCCCAGCCTGGGGTCCCCGCCCAGGAAGGCTGAGTCAGAAAAGCTCCGTTCCCCCAGAGATGCCTTGGGAGGCCCCATCTGGCGCTTGCCCCAGAAGTCCGGGTTATTTGTCTGCCTCTGAGCCTCTCCTCTCACCCTCCCCCATAACAAAGATCACCCTTCTGTCCTCCAACTGCCTCTAAAATATGTGGACTTCTGTTTTAAAAGCAACATCCACTCATAAGACAATACCTGAAAACTGCATTGAAACAGAAAAACAGTTATCCTCTCATTACTACATAGACATCGTCACTGTTCTTGATTACCTTATACCTTCCCAACATGTAGCTTTTTAATGATTTAGGCAAAGTAGGAGTTTACTCTATGTTTAAAGCATTCTGAGTGTCTTTAACCTTCATTTAAACCCCCCAAAATGAAAGAGAGGGTGCAATTAAGCTGTATTTCATGACATTTTCAGTTCATGTTACTCACTGTTGTTTTCTGGGTCTTCATAGTCTTTGAGCCTCTTTTGAATGGTTTCACTGAGTTCCTCTCTGCTACCTAGATATGTTTTATTTTTTCTGTGATCCTAAATTATACTATAGACGTGTGTAAAGATTGCATTTTCTAATGAGGATTATTTCCTTGTGATAAATCCCTATGGGTGGGATGGCTGGGCCAGAGGCAACACTTACAAAGCCAGCCTGTGTTGACAGCCCCTCCCTCGCTGTTGTCAGCCTGCGTGAATGAGGTTCTGGACTTTTCTGAGTCCGTTGATGTTTGACCTCCTGAAGGGACGTTGGGCAGCCACATGTGAATATCAGGACAGTTGCTGTCCCCACTTGACAGGAGAGGAAGGGAGGAGCTGAGGTCAGGCCACTTCTCTGAGTTTCAGGGTGCACTTGGCCTCCCATCCAGGTTTCCGATGCCGTGACCCAGGATTATTCTGCTGGCCAGACCTGAATGTCCAGCCTCTCGCACCCACACAGTACCTGGAAGCCGAGGAAACCCGGCCTCCTGTCTCCTTCTTCCTCAGCCCCTCCCTGCAGTCCTGCGGAGCGGGGCTGGCCAGGCTGGGTGGGAGTGGTTACACCTGTGTGTTTTGCCCAACTGCAGAGGGAGAAATGAAGGGGCCCTGGAGATAAAACACACTGGTTCTGCTCTTGGTCAGAGCTTGTTTTTCTTTCTGCTTCGTGTTGGAAGGGCCATGTTTGGCTGACAGGTCCTGTGGCTCACACTTGCCTGTCCATGTGTCCTTCATAGATGCGCAGCCACTCTCCGCTCCTCACTTGTACCCACAGGGCCTTTATCTCCTCCCATTGGTGGTAGGTTTGTTGCCTCTGGAAGCATCTTACATAATGGAAAAGAAAGCACTTTTGTCCAACTGGAGTTTCGGGGAGTGGATAGCAGCTCCTTGGGGACTGCAGCTTCCCTCTCCTGCATACACAGGTCCTAGGGGCTCTGGGTTAATGACATGAGCCGTGAAAACAGCCCTTACCAAGGCTGAGCCACCATGACTGGTATGTGATTGTGATATGGTGTTCCCTGGGCAGGGAGGGCAAGGACCAGGGCAGTTGGCAAGTGTGTCAAGCTTGCCAGAGGCCCTGGAAAACTTCCCTAGAAGGCTTCTGTCTTGGGGTCAACCTTCTGCCAATAGACATCCTCTGCCAGGGGTCTAGTGTTTGCATCACATGGTGCTGGCCACTCTTTGAGTGTCTCAGAGATGTTTGCCGGGTTGCTGCTTCATGGGCTTATGGTGGTGGGGGTGGCAGTTAGGTAGGATGTCATGAAGGCCACAAAGGAGACCCACATAGTGCTGAGGGTTTCAGAAGATGCTCAGCCAGGCATTTGACAAGAAGGAGGGCTTCGTGGAGGAGGTGGTACTAGAACTTTCAAAGATGGGTGAAGTTTCATTGTGTAGAAGCAGGTAGGGTGCAGTTTGGCAGTTCGGAAGAGCTGTGGTGTGTGTTTGGGAGAAGCACACCTCTTCTTCTGATGGTCCCAGCAGGTGCACATGTTGGGAAGTAGTGGGAGAGGAGGTGGTCAGGGGAGGTCGGCATATGCTGTGCAAGCTTGGATACCAGCCGGAGGTTAGCC